ATCTCAGCAGATTTTTTCCCCTTACAAACTGATGTTAATGGTCTGCCGATCGGTTCGTTATCTTCATTGTAAGCTACTGGCTGTTTTCTTATCTCTGCAAGCTCCAATAATGTCATCAAACTTCCAACCAAGTTTTACCATTAATTAATAATTTAGTGTTAATTATTGCTTCAAAATTGATGAAATTCTAAAGGGAACCATTCTTAATCTCGCATAAATGTCAACCTACCACTTCGAAATACTGCTACTCAATAAATCAGGTTAAATTACATTAAGTCGAAGTTTATTTTGCTGCGTAAAATAGCAAACTTTTTTTCACAAAGAGAAAAAACTGAAAATGTCGAATAACGAATTGATTACAATATACAACATAATGCAAGCTAAAGAAAACATTCATTATCCTACCGAAAATATTTTTCTAGCCTTTAAATCTGCAAATCGTTTCATAGCACTTTCTACACGTATCTTCTTAAAACGATCATTTTTTATTTGCAAATTAGCCAAAAAATTTAACCTGTCTTGAGTCATGGACGACCAAAATCATTACATGGCGACATGATAGCACTCCCATCCTTTATGGCGCCTTGTCGACTGTCCGAGTTGCCAGTACCTTGAGCAGGCCCAGCACAGAAGATATAATCCGACAAAACCAGTGGATAACTGACACTGCGTATAGTACAACGCATCATTAACTAAGAATGAAATACATCAAGTATAACGATATACTGTAATAAAAGTCATGCGAAGAATGAAAATTCGTTCTTACCGTAGATCTTAGCAAACTCCGCGTATTATTGTTTTCCTTTCATTATTAGATAAATTATTTTTACCTTTTTCTTGGTCTCACACTGCTGACCTGAGATGGAACGATTACATTGAATCAATAGCTTCATCCACCGCAAGGAAAGTTGGTTCCCTGTGTCGCGCCAGAAAGTTTTTCTCGCCCGAGTCCATCCTTTAGATCTATAAATCAACCAATCGCCCTTGCATGGAATATTGCTGCCATATATGGTCTGGTACCCCTGCTGTTCGCCTTAAAGTCCTCGACAAAATCCAGAGACAGATATGCAATGTAATTAGCTCTGATCTGACATCTCGTCTACAGTCGCTCTCTTGTAGAGGTGCCGTCGTCTTCTTCTGTCTTTTCTACAAATACTTTCATGGTAACTGCTCCGATGAGCTACTTTCGCTAGTTCTCAAACTGCATGAATTTAAGCGTGCTACTAGGCTGGCATCTCGGTCCCCCCCCTTTCACTGTCGAAACGTTTAAATGTGGCCATCTCTTCTACTCCAATAGCTTCATGTCTCGCACCTCCCATCTGTTGAATTCCCTTCCTATTACTTGTTTCCCTGATAGCTATAATCTCCAAATATTCAAATGTAATGTCAATTGACATCTCCAGATTCCTTGATCTATTCCCTGTCATTTCTGTTCATCCTTTCATCTATCATGCCGCTTTACTCTTGCTCCTACTCCCTGTAACCCGTTGCATGCTAGTGGCATCCCGCCTTGCTTGGGGTGAAATACTTAAAAAAAAGAAAAAGAAAAAAAAAAAGGAATCATTTTACTTTGATAATTACAAAGTACAAGCGTCTATAACATACGCATTGAGAACATTATTAAGTTAATCGATATTATTCTGAATACTAAATGCAAGAGGCTTAAGTTGAAACAGCGAGTAACATACTGAAAGAGCTTGTGTAAATGGATGGCAGAACAGAGACTAGGAGGGATAGTAAAGAGACAAACACTACTCAGTTACAAAAGACAGGAAGTTGTGGAGAGCCATGACTGCCAAAATCCTGAAGGGATATGACACATGTGCTAATATTTCAATTGGCATTTTCCATTATTTTCTCTGATACTCATATACATTGAAAATTTTCAAGGGCAAAACGAGTTCCTCTTTCTATCAGGAGCTCTCTACACCCCGACACATTCTTCAAGTCTTTCTGTCCACACACATACAAACAGTGTACATCATGCTTTTGATTACCAATATACACAAGTGCATAACCATGTCAAGACGCAAGTTGAGTAAAACAAAAGAGGGTAAATGAAGAAACCGGCGTTGAATGGCTGACTATCGAATTAAATTTTCACCTTGGGTGGCGTGAAATCAAATTGCATCAGAACGGGGACACGAAATACCAGGCAAACAGTTAATTTACATCAGCATACTTCCGGTTTCCTTCAAGAATCAAACATAGACGCCTTTTATATCTTTTTTTTTTAGATTCATTCAAAATCTATTATTAGTTTTTGTTTCTTCGACTGAACTGATACAGCATTTAAGTGTCGTGTCCCTTCAGAGTGTAGGCGATTATGGCTCTCCACAATTCCCTGTCCTTCAGGCGTTCTGTCTTCTTACAGTTAATGTTTAATTCTTACTTCTCGCTTTGTAAAATGCTTATTACATTCATTAAATCATTTTCAATACCCCAGGTACATCTTGTGGTGGTATTTTATGGTTTCACAACCCAAATTTGTTTCTATATTATTATTATTATCATCATCATCATTCGATTTCTGCTATGGACACACTACCTACCAAGTCTGCGGAAAGACCTAAGGCAGGTCGTGGTGTGTTGTTATGGCCACATTTCATGTTAATTTTTTTTTTTTTTTGATGAAGTTGCTAGCGTTACATAGACAAAGTTCTCCTTAGTGTGTGTGCTGTACTTAATAAGACAATTTTCTGTATGTCTCTTAAGCTGGGGTTTCAGGGATTCTTTCAATGTGTTGTTTTGTTCCATTTTTATAATTCCAAGTGCACCTATTACCACTGGTATTATTCTTTGTTTTCAATTTCCACATTTTTTCTATTTCAATTTCCAGGTCTTTGTATTTTGATAGTTTTTCAAATTCCTTGGTTGCTATGTTACAATCCGCTGGACAAGCCATATCAATTAGTAGGCAAGTTTTTTCTTTCTGGTTTTTGACAATAATGTCCGGCCTATTTGCTTCAATTTTTCTGTCTGTGTGGATGGTATAATCCCATCTACCGCCCATCTTAATTACTTTATAAAATGATCTATTTAATTTTATAATTAGTGAACATTGAAGTCAACGCTCAGAGGCGACAGACTATTTCATGCTAGACACAATCGTCAAGCCTGAAGGAAACAGCCTGTCGCCTCTGAATGTTGACCTATGTTCACTTTTATATCTATATTTACATAAGCTCTATCTCTGATATTAAGCACTTTATCCCATAAATATAGCCCACCTTAAAACTATATTTCTTCATATTTAGCTCCTAATTTTATTATTATGATGATTGTGTGTGCGCGCGTTCGTGCGCGTGTTCGCGCTCACGCGTCCACCTGCGCCTATGTGTGTAAGTGTTGAGGGGTTCTCCCGTTTTTATACAAATGGAATCACCGAGTATATACATATACTACTGCTACGTGAAGACCCGAGGGACAAGAGCTACAGACGAGGAATGAAAGGTTGTAGGTAACCGGAAGAGTGAGAGTAAGGTAACAGACAGACCGAACGAACGTAGCGAGCAAGAGTCACAGTGAACGAGCACGTAGACTCAGTAAGAAGTCATACAGCGATACTTCAATGCCAAAGACTGTATAGATATTTTGCTACTAACCCGTATTCCTGGAACTACTAACCTGCATTACCAGTTTGTATTATTACGTTAATACATTATTTTCCTGTATTCATTTCTGGCGTTTGTTATTTATTGGTACTGGATTTCATCGCGGAATCCACAACAGTAAGTGTAGAACATGGTTATTTCTCCTTTTCGTCGTTTTTCTTGTCATATATATATATATATATATATATATATATATATATATATATATATATATATATGTGTGTGAGTGTGTATATGTGTGTCTGTGTTATCTGTGTGTGGTGGAAAGCAGATATAGTGGCCTCCCCCTCGACCTACTCGATTATAAAAGGAATGATCGAACCTTACTTATGAGCAGTAGTTAAACTGCATTGAATAAAGTTTCACTACAATCTTAAACATTTGTTTGTTTTTCTTTAAAAAATATATATGTATTGTAATGGGATTGTTTAGGTAATTAGCATAAAGAGAGCTATAACTATAGCTCATGGGCAACTTTGAGTCAGTGTATATAGGACATCTACGGTTATTAAATTTGATCATGATAACAAAATGGTGTCGCCTGATGGAGCTCTGCTGAGCGCAGACGAACCTGAAAACATAAAGATTTGGATAAAATGCTTTTGAGGCACGTGTCAAAATAAAGAAGTTACGAGATGACCAAACACCTGAAAGACAGAAAGAAATCACGGATCTATTTTTGGCCACTGCGCGATGCAAAGCCTTGTTAATGACTTACACGGCTGAAATTGAAATCTTGACATTTAAGGAAGTCAAAGAAACAATATTGAGAAATATTCCACCAAAGATTGGTCATAGACGAACGAATCAAATTCTTAGCATTGAGACAAGAATTTGAGGTACCTATAAGGAAATATCTAAGATGGTTAAGAGATACCAGCAGATACTGTGAATTTCATAATGCAAAAAGGATACAACACATCATTTATATTTAAGAATGGTAAAAATATTGTTGCCTATGCAGACCAGTTAAGAGCTAACCAAAATTACAAGGAAGTACAAAGTGAAGCCAGTTCAAATAACTATGTAGATGAACAAAAAAGCAGGGCAGAGGAATCAATGGATGATCAAAGTCCTTCAGAAGACTTGGAGTACGAAACATGGGACACTGAGAATAAAAGAATTAGATCAAGGTATCCCATAATGAGAAATATTCATGAAACCAGTGAGAGGAGTAGGAGGGAATGTAGGTGAAGCCGTAGATCCATGCAGGGTGTGAAACCCAAAAGATTCAGGGAGATGTAATGAGATTGGTTTAGCTAATAGGTAATTGGCATAAAGAGAGCTATAACTACATCTCAAAGGCAACTTTGAGTCAGTGTACGTAGAATATCTACGGCTACTAAGTTTGACTATCATAACATATCTATCTATCTATCTATCTATCTATCTATATATATATATATATATAGAGAGAGAGAGAGAGAGAGAGAGAGGGAGAGAGAGAGAGAGAGAAGGAGAGAAAGATACAAAAATGAAAGAAGTGTGAGAGAGTGGAGGTAGATGAATCAGTAAACTTATTGTTGTAACCCATCCAAAGGAAAGCTGTGTGCGTGTGAAAGAGAGAGAGAGATAGAGAGAGAGAGAGAGAGAGAGAGAGAGAGAGAGAAAGAAAAAAGATAGAGAGAAAGAAAGAAAGAAAGAGAGAAAGAAAGAGAGTGACGGATTACTAAAAAGAATACACGATTTTACTAAGTACTACTGTGTACCAAATACAAGTGCCTGCGCGATTAAATTATATCCATCAGTTCTTTTCCACGGCACAGTGCTTATTTGGTATGGCATGCTTCATATTTTTGAAATAATTTTCTCCGGGGCGCATTTATTTTTTCTCGGGAAAAAAAAAATTCCTAGCGGAACGTTTATTTGAATCAAGACGCTCAATTTATAAGTTAAAAAATTCCTACGGACATGACTACTCCAGACGGTAGTTGTGTTTTGTACGAAAGAGTAGTCATGCGTTTTGTACAAACAGAACACTCCTTTGCTTGTCTTTGATGATAGAACAGGAAAACATTACATCTATTATTATAAATCGGAAAAGAGACAAGGGAGACAATCAAAAATAGAAAAGAATGCCCATAAACAGGACAGAAAGAGATGCTGGTAGGACCATTTAGATGAAATAGACAACATTAGTAGATATATATATATATATATATATATATATATATATATATATATATATATATATATATATATATATATATTCGTTGAATGGGGAAGACGCGAAAAGAGGAATATTCTCGTGCGACGACACATCTTGTCAGTCGTTGTGAGTTGCAGTTTATGATTAGCATTGATTTGTCAAATCGGCAACAAAGGAATCAACGACATTGATAATTTTAATGCTCCCCAAGCGCTGAAATACGCATGCGCACATAGATATATAGTTAGCAGAATTACTTGAAAAGCTAAAGAGGGACTGGCGTGCTACATAGCTTTGGTTATTGCTCGATTTGGACCATTTCAGAAAAAAAAATCCAAAAAAAAACACAGGAGACCAAAAA